TCTCATGAAATTTTTACCTATGTCTTGTCACAGTGTTTTTAAATAAATTGTCATTAACGTGTTTTTAGGCATTTGAGGCAACAAATGGCATTTAAGGTAACACTGACGCTGATTTACACGCTGTATTATATATCTATTACTGTGTCAATTTGTCAATCACTGCGCGAAACAACATTAGGGCGGTATGTGAACTATTGCTTAAAATGGATCAGAAAAAAATAGATAATCAGAACAAAACAAGTGAGCGGTTTATGATAGCTGGTCATAAACCTCTAGCAATTCATAAAGCTTGAGAAAAATTTCTTGAGAGATTCTAGATTTAAATGCATTCTAGACTAAAAACCATTCGACAGAGATGGGATTCGAACCCACGCACGGAGACCGTATTGGATTAGCAGTCCAACGCCTTAACCACTCGGCCACCCTGTCTTAAATACTACATAACACAAGCACAACTGAACGAACTCTATATTCAAAAAGATTGCCTGGCATAACACTAGATTTAAATTATACGGACAAAAGAGAGCCAATTGAAGTTATCGACTCGCCAAAACTCTATAAACATAATTTCGGATGTGGCTCTTTTTCCTTTTCCCCCCACCAGCGAAATTTTAATAGTAAAATACTGTTCACATCATCGGATTGTTACAAAAATTGGTATGCGGACTAATTAGGCTATGACAATCATATTTGGTCTTCATACTTAACCTTGTAAAACCCCTCGTTACAACATAAAATTGATGTATATGTGAGGTGGGGGGGGGGGGGGGGGGGGAAGGAAAAAGAGCCTCGGATGTTTGCTCGGAGGTAGTTTGCATTTGCATGGGACTCAACTATCAGACTTGTCCCCAAAAGGGATATCTGTACTTATCCCCTCTCTATGGTAACGATAACTTGTAATGATTCAATCTCCCTTCCCCATAAAGAAATAATTCAAAGAAATGAAAATAAGAGAATTTGAACCTAGTAACATTCTCCCCCCTTTTGCAAAAGGGCGGAAATAGTTACAGAGATCCGGATCAAATTGGATCAACCGTACAATGTCCACCCCAAATAGCACTAGATAAAATTATATCACCTTGCTAACAAAATTAAATTATCGAATTAAGAAAAAACATCGATTCGACTGATTTTGGTTGCCTATCGAAATACAACAATTTCAAAATGATCATGTTTTGCGCGTTTGTAAGAACTGCTTGGGGAAGGAATTCGGTCCAAGTTAACATCCTCCAAACCACCCCCCCCCCCCCCCCCCCCAGCCATATGGGGGGAGGATGTTAACTTGGTTCTAAGTTGGGATTTTTCAGCCAATCAGAATCAGCTCTTGTTCCAGCTGTTGATTTATGGGTTGCAGAAAAATTATCTGTTATTTTCATGGGACCTGTCACACAGCTATTCTAGAGTACCTATATATTCAGCTAATTATATCAAAAACTAACAAAAAAATACGGCTAACTTTTCATTTTCATTTGAAAAACCTTAGTTACATCGAAAATCCAAACTGAAGAGGCACACCAAGCAAAGATGTTTAAAATAACCTGAGCAATGCCGGTGACGGATATCTGGACTCCCTTCTTGGTGTACACATTGTTCGTCTCCACTTGGAACGTCATAGTGTTCAAAGAGAGCCTGAAACAAAATGAATACTTGGTGGATTTTTATTGCACGGTCCCAAGAAATGAATACTTCACCCCTGATGATTTCTCAGTAGGAGAGATTTTTTCAAAGCAGCTCTGTTTCTGAACCTAAAAATCGATATCAAATCCTATTTTGAGATAGTTTTTCTAAGATGAAAATAAACAGGGGACATTACTTAGCTTCAAAAAATCTATGCGAAAAAACAATCATTTGTCATTTGATAGCCTTATACTGCGCCTTGAAGAATGAAAAAATATTCGACTACTTTGATCACCCTAATAAATAACATTCCCGTCATCATCAGCACTTCAAGGTAGGTAACATCAAATAAAATTAACAGTCGGCTAAAATTTAATGCTGAGTCAACTATATGTCAAGCTAATCGAGCCGAAATTGATTCAAAAGAAACACTGCAATGCGAGAAAACCGGATAAATGAGTATTTATGAAATTCCGGAAAGATTAATAACACTTGCCGATCTACATTTCTTGAAATATTAAGTTGAAAAAAGTACTTCAAAAAATTTTTTGGAAAACGTCGAAAAAAAATCACTTCAAAAAATACATGCATGTATAGGATGATGCCCACAAACAGCCTTGAGAAAACATTTAGACTCATTTTACGAGCGACAACTGAGGCGACTGATTTTTGCCTGAACCTAGTTCAGCCGAAAACAAAAGTGTTGTCATTAAAAAATTTAAGCTTGAAGTGTTAAAAAATTTTTACGACCCATCACTACTGAAAACCATAGAAGCATAAAACATATTTGCCCTTAAAACTACACAACATAAGTTAACTAAGCCGATATAACATAAGCCGAATAGAAACAAAGCAAAACTTTTGTAGAATTGGTGATTCTACTGTTAGCGTAAAATTGATTGTCATTAAGTTAAGCAGTAGAGCAAACAAAGGGTAGAGTTCAAAATAGTTCAATCTTTGAAGATATCGTCCCTCCTATGCCAGAAACTAAAAATTGACAAAATCGGCGAACCGCTTACACCCTCCCCCCAATCAGAACTAAGGAAGCTAATGTTATGAAATTCAGCGGAGGGATACTAGAGATGACTTGACCAGGGCATACAAAAATCGGGACCCCTCATACCCTTGGCGGGCAAGTGATAACGGTCCCCGGAAATTTAAATGGCCCTATCAGAACTCGGAAACAAGCGGCGGTTTTGGGCTCAAATTTTAGTATGTTGTAAACCTAGTTGAGGGAAGCTTAAGTTTGGAACCCCAGACTCCTAGGAAACTGCAACTGTGGAAACCTTGGCGCCACTGCAGAAACTGCAACAAGTGATGCAACGTATAGACAGTATATATTATATACATGGCATGACAATAACTGAGGCACATTAAGCTACTTTTTTCTGTCCTTAAGAACCAAAAAAAACTATTGCGTACATTATTAAAATGCTGCGGAAAAATTTGTGGTATTCAGATACAAGACTACCTCACTAACCCTGGTAACTCGCTTTCCTCGATGTTGGTAATGGTCACCCGAAGAAAAATTTCCAAAAATTGGGGAGATTGATCAATTGATCCTTGTTCTCGAAACCGAGACAACATTTTTGATGTTTCTTGGTTTCCGAATCATAGTCAAAAGTGTTTTAGTATGATACCACACTTGACCCTCTAAGAGCTTGGTTTGATATACCTAAAATAGGGCGCAAGAAACTATCAACCCTACACCATAGTTCCTTTCCAACCCCTTTAAACATAGTTGAACATCGCGAAGAGCTGACGAGTATGGGTTGATGAAAACAAGCACAATGAAAGACAAAGATAGAAGCAAAAGCATTGGTGCAAAACTAAATATTATATTCTCTGACAATGTTGTCGCTCAAAAGAAACCTTAAGTTGGGGACCGACCTTGGATCTTGTTGACTATCCCCCTTTTTTTGGACCTTATTAACTATTTCCCACCTATGCATGTATTTTTGACAGCAATTTCTGTATAAAATGAACATTTCAAAATGTCAAAAATTAAGTTCTAACATGGACCTTTTACCAGACTCGAAGTAGGTCACTTAGGGGGTAGGGGATTATACGGTCCATATGAACAATCTCATCCCTCAATAGACCAAGTGAAAAATCTCCCCCATAAAATTAAATGACAAATTCAAGCAGTAGGGCCTGCATGTACTATGCTCAAATCTGATTGGCTGAAAACTATCAGTTTTAACCAAGTGAACTATCTCCCCAAATTGATTTAGGGGGGAGATTGTTCACTTGGTCCGATTCTACGGATGATGATGATCCTTCGAATCTTCCACTAGTTTTAAATCATCTTAATTAAACTATTGCATGGTGGTCTGGTAAAAGGTCGGTCTGGTAAAAACCTAGCCCCCCTTAAGTTGCAGAACAATTTTAAATGCTCCAATAAAGGCAAATGTTTACGTTTATGACGCTGTTGGATGACACAAACCTTAAAGCGACATTAAGAAAGCTAAAATGCGCAGACTAAAATGACAAATATAATGCTACGAAGAGAATGCACTACATGTTTTAAGGGCTCGATCAACGTCCGCAAAATTTAGCATGAAAAATATTTAAGTCCCCTCAAATTTTTTTCCCCAGAAACATGGGACCATGGGCTGCACTTTGCTGTATCTATTCTTGTGACACTGAAACGTGAAACATACGCAACACGACCAAAAACAACTCTTTTCTTTTAGATCCCTCTCAATCTGACGTTGGCTTTAACGGGTGCCGGACATCAAGCCGACGGGACTTCAAGCCGAATCGTAAAATTAGGGACTTCAAGCCAAATAGTTCCCTATTAAGTCGTGAAATATGATTAATTTCAAAACTTTTTTGAAGAATTTCTGAATTTCACGATCTTTCTTCACTAGATGTTGGCGTTTTCATAAAATTAGGCCTCAAAATGATGTTTCGGAAAGTTGAAAAGTAAAACATGGTTGCAGGCATTTTTCATGTTTATAATTTATGCATTTCAAAAACCGGCTGATTTTATAAGCGGATGCCAATCAGAAGTGGTGCATTGTCATGATTACCGCTTATTATGGACTAAACATGCCTTAGTTTTTGAAAAGCAACGTTTTACTGATGACAAAATAGTGTTTTGAGGAGCTTGGAAAATTTTATTTTCGGCTTGAAGTCCCTTCGGCTTGAAGTCCCGTCGGCCTGTTGTCCTAGACCCATCGTAAAATGAGGGACTTCAAGCCGAACTTTTTCTCAAAAAGTCATGAAATATGAGTAACAAGACTGGTTGAAGAATTTCTCAATTTTAGGATCTGTCTTTGCCAGTTTAAGGCCTTTCATAAAATATAAGCCTCTAAATTGATTAAAACCTTGTATTTTAAATAGAATTTTGATGGAGAAAGTGGAGTTGTTCTACGTACCTCCACAGTCAGGTTTCCCATGATGGCTCTCTGGTGGCCGGAGAGAGTCTGCAGTGCGATGGCGTGGATCTCCCTCTCCCTCTTGCCCAGAAACTGCTGACACGCTTTAGCCAACATGTCCTCTTTTTGGCCGTCTATTTTCAACTAAACAGATCAGTGGTCAACATAACAATTTCAAAAAAGAACAGACACTACTCTACAGACACGAAACAAAACTGTACTGGACATCTTTGTACATCTCATGAAATTTTTACCTATGTCTTGTCACAGTGTTTTTAAATAAATTGTCATTAACGTGTTTTTAGGCATTTGAGGCAACAAATGGCATTTAAGGTAACACTGACGCTGATTTACACGCTGTATTATATATCTATTACTGTGTCAATTTGTCAATCACTGCGCGAAACAACATTAGGGCGGTATGTGAACTATTGCTTAAAATGGATCAGAAAAAAATAGATAATCAGAACAAAACAAGTGAGCGGTTTATGATAGCTGGTCATAAACCTCTAGCAATTCATAAAGCTTGAGAAAAATTTCTTGAGAGATTCTAGATTTAAATGCATTCTAGACTAAAAACCATTCGACAGAGATGGGATTCGAACCCACGCACGGAGACCGTATTGGATTAGCAGTCCAACGCCTTAACCACTCGGCCACCCTGTCTTAAATACTACATAACACAAGCACAACTGAACGAACTCTATATTCAAAAAGATTGCCTGGCATAACACTAGATTTAAATTATACGGACAAAAGAGAGCCAATTGAAGTTATCGACTCGCCAAAACTCTATAAACATAATTTCGGATGTGGCTCTTTTTCCTTTTCCCCCCACCAGCGAAATTTTAATAGTAAAATACTGTTCACATCATCGGATTGTTACAAAAATTGGTATGCGGACTAATTAGGCTATGACAATCATATTTGGTCTTCATACTTAACCTTGTAAAACCCCTCGTTACAACATAAAATTGATGTATATGTGAGGTGGGGGGGGGGGAAGGAAAAAGAGCCTCGGATGTTTGCTCGGAGGTAGTTTGCATTTGCATGGGACTCAACTATCAGACTTGTCCCCAAAAGGGATATCTGTACTTATCCCCTCTCTATGGTAACGATAACTTGTAATGATTCAATCTCCCTTCCCCATAAAGAAATAATTCAAAGAAATGAAAATAAGAGAATTTGAACCTAGTAACATTCTCCCCCCTTTTGCAAAAGGGCGGAAATAGTTACAGAGATCCGGATCAAATTGGATCAACCGTACAATGTCCACCCCAAATAGCACTAGATAAAATTATATCACCTTGCTAACAAAATTAAATTATCGAATTAAGAAAAAACATCGATTCGACTGATTTTGGTTGCCTATCGAAATACAACAATTTCAAAATGATCATGTTTTGCGCGTTTGTAAGAACTGCAAATTTTATACAGAATTAATTTTCAGAATGAATGCATGCTTGGGGAAGGAATTCGGTCCAAGTTAACATCCTCCAAACCACCCCCCCCCCCCCCCCAGCCATATGGGGGGAGGATGTTAACTTGGTTCTAAGTTGGGATTTTTCAGCCAATCAGAATCAGCTCTTGTTCCAGCTGTTGATTTATGGGTTGCAGAAAAATTATCTGTTATTTTCATGGGACCTGTCACACAGCTATTCTAGAGTACCTATATATTCAGCTAATTATATCAAAAACTAACAAAAAAATACGGCTAACTTTTCATTTTCATTTGAAAAACCTTAGTTACATTGAAAATCCAAACTGAAGAGGCACACCAAGCAAAGATGTTTAAAATAACCTGAGCAATGCCGGTGACGGATATCTGGACTCCCTTCTTGGTGTACACATTGTTCGTCTCCACTTGGAACGTCATAGTGTTCAAAGAGAGCCTGAAACAAAATGAATACTTGGTGGATTTTTATTGCACGGTCCCAAGAAATGAATACTTCACCCCTGATGATTTCTCAGTAGGAGAGATTTTTTCAAAGCAGCTCTGTTTCTGAACCTAAAAATCGATGTCAAATCCTATTTTGAGATAGTTTTTCTAAGATGAAAATAAACAGGGGACATTACTTAGCTTCAAAAAATCTATGCGAAAAAACAATCATTTGTCATTTGATAGCCTTATACTGCGCCTTGAAGAATGAAAAAATATTCGACTACTTTGATCACCCTAATAAATAACATTCCCGTCATCATCAGCACTTCAAGGTAGGTAACATCAAATAAAATTAACAGTCGGCTAAAATTTAATGCTGAGTCAACTATATGTCAAGCTAATCGAGTCGAAATTGATTCAAAAGAAACACTGCAATGCGAGAAAACCGGATAAATGAGTATTTATGAAATTCCGGAAAGATTAATAACACTTGCCGATCTACATTTCTTGAAATATTAAGTTGAAAAAAGTACTTCAAAAAATTTTTTGGAAAACGTCGAAAAAAAATCACTTCAAAAAATACATGCATGTATAGGATGATGCCCACAAACAGCCTTGAGAAAACATTTAGACTCATTTTACGAGCGACAACTGAGGCGACTGATTTTTGCCTGAACCTAGTTCAGCCGAAAACAAAAGTGTTGTCATTAAAAAATTTAAGCTTGAAGTGTTAAAAAATTTTTACGACCCATCACTACTGAAAACCATAGAAGCATAAAACATGAAAACCATAGAAGCATAAAACATATTTGCCCTTAAAACTACACAACATAAGTTAACTAAGCCGATATAACATAAGCCGAATAGAAACAAAGCAAAACTTTTGTAGAATTGGTGATTCTACTGTTAGCGTAAAATTGATTGTCATTAAGTTAAGCAGTAGAGCAAACAAAGGGTAGAGTTCAAAATAGTTCAATCTTTGAAGATATCGTCCCTCCTATGCCAGAAACTAAAAATTGACAAAATCGGCGAACCGCTTACACCCTCCCCCCAATCAGAACTAAGGAAGCTAATGTTATGAAATTCAGCGGAGGGATACTAGAGATGACTTGACCAGGGCATACAAAAATCGGGACCCCTCAGACCCTTGGCGGGCAAGTGATAACGGTCCCCGGAAATTTAAATGGCCCTATCAGAACTCGGAAACAAGCGGCGGTTTTGGGCTCAAATTTTAGTATGTTGTAAACCTAGTTGAGGGAAGCTTAAGTTTGGAACCCCAGACTCCTAGGAAACTCACTTCCGGTTTTATGCCCGAAGTAAACGAACCCACCCCTAACTTCCGGAAGCCGTTTCTCAGCCTCCAATGATCACAGAGATCTGAAACTTGGAGGAATGATAGGTAATAGCAAGATACATCTTGTATTATAATTTGAAACAAATCCGGCGAGTGGATCGGAAGCTATTAGCACTTGAGAAAACACCCCTTTGACCGGAAATAGGCAATTAACGCGAAATGATGAACGGTGGCATAATGATTTTATTGCGGCAATGGACATAAGATACGAACCCAGAAAAAAGACCACTTGTGAGTGAAAAACCTCTGGCGACTCCTTCCGGTGTTAATAGCCTTTTCCCGGAAAAAGTGATAATGGACCTTAGAAAAGAGATAACTTGGGAAGTATTAATGGGATATGAAAGAAATTTGATAGTGAAGACCCCCATGGGATTCTGAACCCAAATATGGAAGTTTGACCGCGGTTGACCCCTGGGTGACCTTAAGTTGACCTTTGGGCTTTTTGACCCCAAAATTGCATAGAAAACCCCGAGATTAACACCGGAAAATGGCGTATTTCCTAGCCCAATCCCTTGAAATGAGAATGGGTCACCTTGCTGAAAGTTGGGAGGACAATTCATATATTGGGAGGTAGAGAAGAAGCTGAATGAGATATATCTTTTGCATTGCAACCTTGGAGTAGTAGAGTTAATTCAAAGTGGACTTGGAAAACATTGGGTTCAGTTTAGCTTGGCGAGTGATCTATAAATAGCAATTCAACTAGACCAAAAGCAAAAAAGTAGTCCCAGAGCAATCTGATAGTAATAAGACCGTAGCATGAGAATTAAGTCTCCTAAATAGTATGAACGAACGGGGAATTTACTTGGCTTCCCTGAGGTGACTTTTTGCTTCGATTTGACCCCTAATAAACAAACTACGTTCCCTGATAGCTAGAAGGTCGGGATTGGAATAGAGTACATATCGAAATTTTTAGATGCCTGGAATGAATTAGCTACCCATGACAAGGCCCTCCCCCTACCCTAAGGAGGTCGGAACGTTAACGGGATAATTAAAATAAAGACCTTGGGAGGGTCACTGAGTAAATATAGCATGCTTTGGAGGTTGAGTTGAACTCGAAGACTGAAGTCTCTGAGGTCAGGAATTTGCTCATTAGAATCGTATGACATTTATTTGCTTGGTCAAATTGAGACACCTACCGCATACCGGGTATCTAATAAGCGTCAAAAGATTGATAAAAGAAAGCGAACTTGGCACGTGGCAGAGTTGACAGGGAGACGTATATAGTCTTAAACATGTGCAGACAGGTGATTTAAGCGGATGTCAGGACTGATTGGGAATAGCGCGACTTAACTAAAACTAAGTGTAAAGAAAGATAAGGAATTGGAGGGTACCGGAGAGCTGGTAAGAGTTAGAACAATTGTTGGCTACTATAAAGAGTTGTTGGTTCTCAGTCAGGGTAGAGAACAATTATTGCTAGTGAGCGAGTTGCGCTGGAACCCGAGTTTAGTACCGGGTTGAACTATTAGTGTGAGCGAGCTGATTGGAACCCGAGTTTAGTACTGGGTTGAACTCTTTGCGCGAGCGAGTTGCGTTTCAATCCGAGTTTAGTACCGGGTTGAATTAATTGTGTGAGCGAGTTGCGCTGCTGGAGTAGGCGAGTTTAGAATTGCGTCAAGCGAAAATTGGCGAGTGAGATAACGAAGCGATTGAACGGAACGAAACGCTGGGTTCCGTTGTAGAAGTTGCTAAATAGTAGTTAGCTCATTAAGGGCACTGTAAATTGCTTTTATTTCCTTTGCGATTGAGAATTTACTCATTGTGCCCCCGATATGCTGAACTAGTAAGAAGCGTAAAAGGAGAGCCGAAAAGAACAGAAATTAAGGGGGGAGTTGCGTAATCTTTTGATCGGCCGATTTAGTCTAACCACCAACATAACCCTTTCGGGATTGTGGATCATATCGTGTCTTAGTGTCCCCCGCTATAACACGGTATAAAGGAGAGAAACTCTGAGGCCGTTAAGTAGAGTAAAAGCATGCTTAGAGGAGACGAGTCCCCGGAAGAAATCTACAACTTTTGCAGGAAAAAAAGAACAAACTCAGATTTGATAAACGTTCAAATTACAGACTTTTCGATTAATGTGAAAAAAGTTCCAGACAGAAGGAATATCAAGCTTCGAAAAGAGTCAGTGGATGCAAAAAAAAACTAAAAAAAAACTGACTCGCTTTTTGAAAAACTTTCAGTTTCAAAGAAAAAATATATAACTCAAAGCTATTTGAATTTCAAAAAGAGATAACGATTTAGTCTGTTTTCAAAAATAACCCCATTTGAAAAAACTGGATCAATAGGTAAAATTTTTATTCCACTGGAAACGCTGAAAGATAAAATCCATTTACGAAACTAGAATATGATCACGGTTTCGATGGCCTTAATTCTTTTGCAGTTCTATAGTGGAGTTTAAGAGGTTAGCCAAATTTCGAATAACAACTTAAGTATGCAAATTAAGGAAACAGAAAAACTTATTAATGACAATGTTGCCCCTAAAAAATTGCTTAACAAAAATTTTGATACATGCTGAAACCCCGACCACTCAATCTGTCCAAAACGAAGCCAACAAACACTTGGAAAAGAGTCAATGAACGCAAGTAACCAGAAAAAACTGCTTTCTTTTTTTTCGAACTTTTCGAATTTCCAAGAAAGAAACTTTCGAATTTCCAAGAAAGAAACATAAGGCATGAACACTCTTCAAAATTTAGGAAATATCCATGACTCACTTTTTTATTCAATAATCCATTAAATTTTTTATTTTAAATGTCGAAACTAGAAATCAAGCACGTTTTTTTTTTCGCGCCATTTCCTCTATCTTCATTGGAGAAAAAATTTTGGCTAGGCTATCTTTTAGCGAACCAACTTGAATTGAACTCAAAAAATGCACTTATAATCTTAAGATATTAACAACAGCATTAATATATGGAATGCACTTCTTTGGTTATTAAATGATTTTATAAGTTTTCCAGAAAAAAAAAACGGGGAAAAAATTCATCTTGACCTATATAAGAGTCTGAACTACGTTCATCGACCCTTAAATGTACACGAATTAAAAAAGATAGCTAAAATATAGCCAACAGGCAGTTGTAAAAGAGTCAAGGAGCGCAACAAAACTGAAAAGATGCAACTTTCCAAAATCAAAGTTGAAAAATGCACTTCAAGTTCTTTGAATTTTAATTGAAATTTATGATTGGCACATTTTTGAAAAAAAAAAAAACAAATCCAATTTGACAGAAGGATCAAAAGTAAATATCTTATTCTCCCGGGAAATCTGAAAACTGACATCCACTTCGTAAACGGTCATGTTATTCGTAAGCTTCACACTTTTGCCGTTTAAACGTCGAGTTTGCCTTCCTCTAACCAAAAAAGTGAATTGATTTGAAACACAGAGGCGAAGCAGAGACAACCCACTACTTGCCATACAACACAACAAAAAAGAGTAAAAAAAGAAAAATTGAAAAAACTAGGTGCACCAAAATTTTCGTGTGTCGCAATGCAAGATACCTAGAACCCAGCTAAAGCTGCATGTTTGATCTTTCTGAATTTGCTATACAAGCTTATGCAGGACGAAACGCGTGATTTCAAAAATTGGACTAGGCCCAAAACCTTAGTTGTTTGTCTACTTAAATAAGAAGACTGAAATTTTTTAAAATTTCCCGAAGACATTACATTTCTCTTACAAAATGTAAGAAACAGACATTTCTGCAGGAAAAAATTGTCCAACCGCTTCTTTCGATTGAAATTTTCATCTCGGATTTGACAGGGTATTTAAGAAAACTCAAAAAGTTTCTAAAAATCGTTCAAAATTCAAAAACTTGACTTCTGAAATCCATAACTTTTTACTGCTAAAAGCAGGTAGCTGCAGGTAAAGTAGAGAAGGTTATAAACATTTGAGTTTCTCGATTGAACACTTAACTTGAAAATTTGCAGGGTAATTTTCGAGTGAGTCAAAAAACTTTCACTTGCTTGAAGGCCACAAATTTTTCAAAAAATTGGCCTTAGCAAATTATAAAGGTAAGCTTTCAACCACCTGTTGAAACCAAAAATATCAGATTTGGCAGGATGGTAATCGAGAAAACTCCAAAAACGGTCAACAAATAAGATAGTTGTCATTTCCCAGGATCCTAGCTATTTGTTTTTAAAAAATGGGCTTGACAGCTTATGCAGAAGAGCTTTGGCCAACCTGTAATTTCGATTGAACCCAAACCCCCCCCCCCAAAAAATTAAAAATTTGGTTTTTCCGAGGCCCGTCATTTTGTGTTTCAAAAACTTGAGCGTAGCCGCTTAGGTAAAGGAGTTTGTCAAATCTACACTATTTATTGAAACAAAATCCAGATTTGGTCGGTTAGTTGAGAAAACCAAAAATATATCGGTCAATTATTCCCCCCAGAGACTCTTTCGAAGGCTGTTAACAAAGGGCGTAAGCAAAAAGAGACAAGAGGAGTATTCAAAGACACAGGGGTCTAGGTGGTCTTTCTAAGGATAACCTTTTTGGAAAATCTGTAATCTGCGTCTCAAAAAAGTAATATTATAAATCCAATCCCATCCAATTTCATGAAACCTATTTTTATCAAACAGGAATTCTAGGCACAAATGCCAAGCAAAACCTTTGATATGTACATTAGCAATTGAAAAAACCATCAATTAATTAAATTCAGATTTTAATGAAATTGAGCATGTCAGCAGCTGAATTTGCACTTTCATGAAATTGAGAATGTCATCTGCATTGAGCATGTCAGCTGAAATTAAGGAGTGAACGGAGAAAACGAACGGCGAAACATTAAATGGGCACTTCATTTTACATTCGCTAGTTGGGTTGAGAAAAGTATATTTCTAATAAAACACTACGCACACAGGAGTGAAAAAATATATGGCTTCACAGCTCTCTGGATTTCAAGACCAATTTATGATCATTAAGTAAATTTTGTCCGCTGGAAAATCTGAAAATTGCAACCCACTTTCGAAACAAGAACTCTCTCACGTTTTTTGTGACTTTTATACTGTTGCTGTTCAATGGAGGAGTTTGCCTTCATTTCAACAGAGTAAATGAACTGAACTTGAAGAAAATCGAAAGTCAAACAGCAAAAAATCAGAACTTAACCTCAACAAATTTTAAGACTTTCTTATGAAAAAAAAACAACATAAAGATCACCAAGACCTAAACATGATTAACTTTTAGGTCCACGACTCTTATAAACTTCTATTTTAAGAAAATCAACGGAGATACCAATATATTCGCAACAGTTGAGTCTTTCAAAGATTCAAAAGGTTGGAAAACCTGACATTGAAGCCAGCATCTATACGAAACATAACTTTTCAATAATTTTTGTTTAAGTAAGTCTTACTTCAAAAAATAATCGAAGTATGCAGAGTATCATATAATTATAGTCGAAGCGCAGCTTCAAATTGGAAAGTTTGTGGTTTCCAAAAATGTGCCTTCAACTTGGAAAGGTAAAGCCATATTATGTATAAATTATGCACTTCAAAATTTGCGAGAAATATTGATTTAAAAATTTACTGATATCGACTTTTTATGATTGTTACGTTCTACGATTCAAATAGCGTCTTTTGATTCATTTGATCAAGTAAAAATGCATCAACTGTGTTAAGTTATTACTATTCAAATGTCAGAGCACATGCTATCAAAACGCCGTACGGTGCCACCAAAAGTGGCGCCAATATTTGCGACTGAGGTCAGAAAAAAATAGTCGTAATATTTCATAACGCTCACTTAAGTTCGCTTAAGTAAGAAAAAACAACCAAAGGACAAGTGGAAAAACTTAATAAACGCAAGGAAAAGAAAAATTAGTTGACTTTTTTTTAAATTCGAAATTATGTGCCCTTAAAGCTCTTTGAATTTCACGAAAATTTTATGATTGGTGCTTTCTTGAAAAAATTAACACAATTTGAGAAAACTGTATCAATAGGTAAAGTTTCTACTTCGCTGGGAAATCTGATAATTAAATTCCATTTTTGAAATTAAAAGTCGATCACGTATTTCGAGAGCTTTAAATTTATGCTGTTTGATAGATTTTGCCTTCCTTTTAATAAAGAAAAGAAATCAAAAGTCAATCCGTGATTTGTTCAAATTTAACTAGTGAGTTGGAAGATCTCTTTTAGACCTATTCAAGAGAGGAAGCGGATATTAACCAGTTCTAGTAATTTTTTCAATCTGTAAAACGTGATCACTTAGAGAGTTAATATTTTTCGTGTTACCTCTGAAGTGTTTGCACAGCTGGAATGAAGAAGACTCTGCCTCCGGGAACTAACAGGGGTCTGCTGTGGAAACAACCGGACACCACCATTGCCTCATTTGGACCACACGTTCGGAACATTTTGCTAAATGGTTAACAGCTTAATCTGAAAGAATTAGATATAGTTAAAATTGGAGTCGCATAAACGGAAAATGTTCGATATTATCATGGCTAAAAAACAGATGCTCACCACTTGCGATACATGAATAAAAATGGAGTTGAAGCTGTGCGTCTCGAACATACGCAGCAATAAAGGCAAAAGGAAGCTCGAAGCTCTCAGAAATCAACAAAATTAACTACAAAATTAAGCCGTGAAAGAACAAACCAGCGAAACCTGAAAAAAATCATCACTAAATATATGAGCGCGTTGTTTAAAGCGGATAACAGACGTTCTCCTAAATCGCTTAATAGAACGACAGCAGTACACTGATACTGCTATTGCGACTAAACAAAATTGGACTACAAGGGAAACAAATTGAAGAATAACACTGAGGTCAAAATTGCCATGTTCAAAACAAACTAGCAAGCCCATTTGAAAGCAAAATTTTTGGTCTTACTCTAAGAAAAATCAAAGTGCATCCATTTGAGTTCAACTTAAGTTGATGACTTGAACAGGTTCGCATAAACGATTACCCGTGTGATAAGCCAGGGTATTGCAATCGGTTTCTAGATTTTTTTCCCGTAAACAACTTTGTCCACAGGATGCCTGAGATTTGGCCATCTCCATGCATCTCTAATTCTACCCAACTTACACGTCTGACAGCTGTAACTCAACAGCTGGCTTCAACGACTGAATTGATAATTGTCTTACAGCTGAAAAAGTTTTTAGATGTAAGTTGATTTTTGTCGGCTTTATTGATTTCGACCCAATTTTTGTCGGCTTACTTGCCGGGTAATTGATTCTGTAAACTTTTTGGTAGATTTTTTGAGTTCTCTTTTTTCATTTTCATGAGGGTAAATATAGTTCATGATTTTCTGTTTTTATAAGAGCCAAAGATTCTGTGATGCTCCTCTTTTCGATGCCTTAGTCTACCCTGCCTTGCCATGCACTGTCCTGACTTTTCTGCTCTGCGCTGCCCTGCGTTCCGCTACCTTGCCTGGCTCTGTCTTGTCCCTTCTTCCACCTCCGTATGCTGCTTTTGTGATCTTCACTTCCTTGCCCTGCCTTGTGTTGCGCTGCCTTGCCGCTTTTCTCAGCCTTGCCTTGCATTGCCTTGCCTTGCATTGCATTGCCCTCCCTGCCACCCCTCCTTGCCCTGCCTCACACCGTCCTACCACTCCTTGCTTGCCTTGCGCTGCCGCCTTGCCTTACTCTGCCCTGTCCCTCTTGTCTTGAACTGCCCTGCGCTCAGAACTTCAAGACAATCTGTCTAGACATTTAAGCTTGAAGTTTAAGACCGATTTATAATCAATGAATTTGTAGCCCACTGAGAAACCTGAAAATCGAAAGTTACTTTCAAAACTAGAGTTCGATCACGCTTCTGATGACCTTTATCAACCAGCTGTTTGCTAGTGGAGTAAGCCTTTCTTCCAGCAAAGCAAATGAAATGAACTTGAAAAAGAATTAAGTCAAACAGCAAATTTCATAACTTAGCCTCAACAAATTTTCTGACTTTTTACTGAAAAAATCATCATCATCATTGCCGCCTTATCCCGTTCAAACGGGGTCGGCGGGGCGCTCTTGAATCTTCGAGCGCCAGAGTTTGCGGTCGTGTGCGTCGGCTTCCGTCAGTCCTCGTCTTCTCATTTCCTCCTTCACGTCCTCTATCCATGTCTTTCTTGGTCTTCCTTTGGGTCTTTTTCCAGGGACCTCAAGGAAATACGCTTCTTGGATTGGACTACTATCTTCTCTACGCACGACATACCCAAACCATCGCAATTTAGATTTTTCAACACAGTCAATAACGGTCTTTCGAATACCAAGTCGGCTCAAAATCGAGTCCGATGGAATGAGATCTATTAAGGTTACTCCACACATCATTCAAGCCATGCGCCTTTCCGTTGAAAGTAACCTGTGTTTGTGTTCTAATTTCAGTGTCCAAGTTTCACAGGAGTACGTCATCACTGGTCGAACACAAGCACAACAAATAATACCTCTTTGTTTCATGGACAATCACCGTTTCCCGAGTAAAACGCCTCCATGGATTCGACAGGGTATTTAAGAAAATTCAAAAAGTTTCTAAAAATCGGTCAAAATTCAAAAACTTGACTTCTGAAATCCGTAACTTTTTACTGCTAAAAGCAGGTAGCAGCAGGTAAAGAAGAAAAGATTATAGACATTTGAGTTTCTCGATTGAACACTTAACTTGAAAGTTTGCAAAAAACTTTCACTTGCTTGAAGTCCACAACTTTTTCAAAAAACTGGCCTTAGCAAATTATAAAGCTAAGCTTTCAACCACCTGTTGAAACCAAAAATATCAGATTTGGCAGGATGGTTATCGAGAAAACTCCAAAAACGGTCAACAAATAAAATAGTTGTCATTTCCCAGAATCCTAGCCTTTTGTTTTAAAAAAATGGGCCTTTTGCAGAAGAGCTTTGGCCAACCTGTAATTTCGATTGAACCTAAAAAAAACTAAAAATTTCGTTTTTCCGAGGCCCGTCATTTTATGTTCAAAAAAGTTGAGCGTAGCCGCTTAGGTAAAGGAGTTTGTCAAATCCACACTATTTATTGAAACAAAATCCAGATTTGGTCGGTTAGTTGAGAAAACCAAAAATATATCGGTAAATAATTCCCCTTTTGTGACCTTTATACTGTTGCTGTTCAATGGAGGAGTTTGCCTTCATTTCAATAGAGTAAATGAACTGAACTTGAAGAAAATCAAAAGTCAAACAGCAAAAAATCAGAACTTAACTTCAACAAATTTTAAGACTTTCTTATGAAAAAAAAAAACAACATAAAAATCACCAAGACCTATATATGATTAACTTTTAGGTCCACGACTCTTATAAACTTCTATTTTGAGAAAATCAACGGAGATACCAATATATTCGCAAAAGTTGAGTCTTTCAAAGATTCAAAAGGTTGGAAAACCTGCCATCGAAGCAAGCACCTATACGAAACATAACTTTTCAATAATTTTTGTTCATGTAAGTCTTACTTCAAAAAATAATCGAAGTATGCAGAGTAACATATAGATAGAGTCGAAGCGCAGCTTCAAATTGGAAAGTTTGTGGTTTCCAATAATGTGCCTTCAACTTGGAAAGGTAAAGCCAAATTATGTATAAATAATGCACTTCAAAATTTGCGAGAAATATTGATTCAAAAATTTACTGATATCGACTTTTTATTATTGTTACGTTCTATGTTTCAAATAGCGTCTTTTGATTCATTTGATCAAGTAAAAATGCATCAACTGTGTTAAGTTATTACTATTCGAATGTTAAAGCACATGCTATCAAAACGCCGTAAGAGCAAAATTTTTGGTCTTACTCTAAGAAAAATCAAAGTGCATCCATTTGATTTCAACTTAAGTTGATGACTTGAACAGGTTCGCATAAAAAATTACCCGTATAAGCCAGGGTATTGCAATCGGGTTCTAGACTTTTTTCCCGTAAACAACTTTGTCCACAGGATGCCTGAGATTTGGCCATCTCCGTGCATCTCTAATTCTACCCAACTTACACGTCTGACAGCTTTAACTCAACAGCTGGCTTCAACGACTGAATTGATAATTGTCTTACAGCTGAAAAAGTTTTTAGATGTAAGTTGATTTTTGTCGGCTTTATTGATTTCGACCCAATTTTTGTCGGCTTATTTTGAGCACCACTGCAGTGATACCACTGGGCCCTGGAGCCTTCTTGTTCGCTAACGCTCGCAAGGCACTCTTAACCTCTGCCACTGTATTCCTCACAAGGTCCTTCTACAGCCGGTTTGTCACTACTAGCGTAAGGATGCTCAACATTCATGATTTCATGCATATGGTCTTTTCATCTTTTTATACGAGCAGCAAAGTTAGTTTGCAGTATCCCTTCTGCATCCTTCAAGCAATTCGTGCCGACAACGTCTTGTCTTTGCTTGGCCCTTTGCTTTGCTATGTTGAAGATCTTCTTAGAGTCAGCTTCTGCAATAGCTTGCTCTACTTGACTGTTGATAGCATCACGAATCGTATGCTTCGCAGCACATTTAGCATTCGCATACGCTGTCCGATTTGCATCGTTTCTGCGCCACTGTTTGAACAGTTGTTTCTTCATTTTTACAGCTTCTTCTACTTCTTGTTCCACCACCAAGTTTCACGTGAGGCTGCATGTCCTCGAGAAACACCGCAAACATTTTGTGCAACCTCGAACAGGTTGTTCTTCAGCTCCTCCCATGTAGTAGGCTCAGGTGTCGCAGCAAACTCAGTAGTGAAAAGTTTTTTTGTCTCTGGGTCACGTAGTTTCCAAGTCTTTATCCTTGGTTTACCTCGACTTGTATTGCCCTGCTCGGCCTTGCTTTGCTCTGACATTCTCCTTGTCACCTTGCTCCTCCTTCCGCTGCCCTGCCTTGCCTTGCGCTGCCGTACATTTTGCGCTGTCATGTCCTGCCGCGCTCCTTCTGGCCCTGCCTTTTCTTGCAGTGTCTTGCCTTAGGCTGCCCTGTCCCTTTTTGCCTTGCTCTTGCACTTCCGCACCTCTTGCCCTGCTATGCCTTGCGCTGTCCCGCCTTATACTGCTAACCCCCTCCTTGCCTTCCACTGCCCTCCCTTGCGCTGCCCTGCCCTGCCTTGCCTTGCATTGCCCTCCCTGCCTCACGCCGCCCTGTCCCTCCCTGCCTTGCCTTCGCTGCCGTCTTGACTTACTCTGCCCTTTCCCTCTTGTCTTGAACTGCCCTGCACTCAGAACTTCAAGACAATCGGTCGAGACATTTCAGCTTGACCTTTCCAAACTCGCTTTTTCTTGAAATTCAAAAGTTCTAATTCTAATCGATTTCTTAAACGTTAAGACCGGTGAGCTGTAAAACATGGCGCCCATAGCAACTGAAAACAACAATTAAATACGAGATTGAACACAGCCAACACACCTTAGGAAAAGAGTCAGTGAACCCAATGAAATAAAACTGAATTTCGAAATGCAAAGAAAGAATTATATGGCTTTACAGCGCTTTGAATTTTAAGACACATAAGATATATAAGACATATTACAACGCTTTGAAACTGTAGCCCACTGAGGAACCTGAAAATTGAAATTTACTATCGAAACTACAGTTCGATCACGTTTCTTGTGATCTTTATCTTTTATTTGCTAGTGGAGTATGCCTTTCTTTGAACAAAGCAAATGAACCGAAATTGAAAAAAATAGTAATTCAAACAGCAAAAAAATCATAACTTAGCCTCAACAAATTTTAAGACCTTCGCCCGAAAAAAGAAAACAATAGTAAATCCTAGGTTCACTTTTCTTATAGGCTTCTATTGTAAGAATATCAGCGGAGATACCAATATATTTTCAACAGTCGAGACTTTCAAAGGTTCATTCAAAAAAATCTGACAATTGATGCATCTATAACTGAAAGATCTCAATAATTTTTGTTCAAGTCATATTTCGAAAAAAAAAATGAATTATGCACATTTAACATGGAGGCTAATCGAAGCTTCTCATCACTTCGATACAACGAAAGCGAAGCATTGCATGCTACCAAATAGTCAGTGAGATGGAAATTACTAACTCGAAATTTTTTTTTTGAAAATACGAAACCTTCAAAATCAAAACAGATGGGAAAAACAAGCACCGGCATAAATCAAACTATGAGTAAATTCCGAGAATTCACTAAGCCAACAAAACGTGGTTAGACATCAATTGATTTGAATCCAATCAATGGCAAAGGAAAAAGTTGTCATAAAAAAATTTCAAAATCAACAAATCTTAGAAAAAAAAACAGACAAGAAACAAAACCATTGGCTTCAAGCAAGCTTCATTGATTTTCTGAGCGCCCACAAAGCCAACAACACGTGCTTCGACGACAGTTAATCCGAAAACAAAAAAGCCAATTGAAATGATTGTTATGCAAAAATAAACCAATTTATTCAAGTACAAAAAATTCAACCTCAGCAAAACAGAAGGGAAACAGTACCACTAGCATTGAGAGATTTTTGTCTAAGTGTTAAACAAGCCGACAACACATGGTTAGACGCCAATTACTCCGAAAACAAAAAAAATGCCATCTGAAATTGTTGTCATGAAAAAGATTTTAAGTGTACTTTTCTATTACCGACCGACCTGAGTTATTAAAAACAAGAATAATCATATTTCATACAACTAGTCAAACAAAATTCACGAAACCGACAAAACGAGAGTCGAAATAAAATTAGACCAAATAAACCAAAATATAGATACAATAAAATTTCTAAGACAACAAAATCAACAAAACGGAAAATACACTTTTCCGGTATGGTAACTTCTAAAAAGTACAGTAGCTCACCAACGACACTGGAGATAACACTAAAAACTTTAGTTACAGTGGAAAAAACTGTGGAAGGGCAAGCAAGCCGACAAAACATAAGACGACAAAAAATAATCCGACTAATCAAATTTTCCCGGAGACAAATCAATTCAAGAGACTGAAAGAAAAAAAGGTCCGATCGCGACTTAAACCCCTAACCATAGGTTGCGAAAGCAACTGCATTACCTCCAGACGAAGTTCGATGGGCCTGTAAGTTGTTTGATGGGGCCTGGAATAAAGCAATATCAATTTCAAATGTGGACAAAAGTTCTGGACCGGAAAGAACTCGCAAGTGCAATTATAAAACGAAGCCAAATGACACTTGGAAGAGAACAATGAATGCAAGCAACAGAAAAAAATGAATGGTTTTTTGAAAAAACTTCAACTTTCAAATTTTTAAGAAAAAATATATGCACTCAAAGCTCTTTGAATTTCAGGTAAACTTTTTGATTGGTGTTTTTGTTTTAAAATTGTCCACATTTGAGAAAACTAAATCAATAGGTAAAGTTTTTATTTCATTGGGAAATAAAAACTTACCCTATTTTATTGGAAAATGTTCCTGGAAAAATTAAATTCCTTTTTCGAAATCGATCACGTTTTTCGAGAGCTTTCCATTTTTGATGCTCGATAGAGCAGTTTGCCTTTCTTTTAACAAAGGAAACGAAAAAAACTTGAAATCAAATGTCAAACCACGAAAAATCAAAACTGAGCGTGAACAAACGTTAAGACCTGTTCCTAAAAAAAAATCTCCAAGAGCTATTTAGGAGTACTTACTCACTATGTTCATTACTCTTTAAAACAATTTTTTGAGCAAGTGACAGCAATCTTGACTTTAGAAGAGATTTATAAATAGAACTAAAATGAAAAAAAAAATCAAGAAACCCAAAAAGAACGCCTTAAAAGTTACGGCCTTGAAACTTAAGACTTTTCATGATTGACTTTTTCCAATACTTCAACAAATTTGGAAAAAAACTGGATCAAACGGCATCTACTGGGATATTTGAAATAAAAAATCCAATTCTGAAACTAAAAATCAATCACGTTCTTAATCACGCCATTAAATTTTTTCTAATTTTCCTGACATGCAATAGCTAATAAGCTAATTATCAGCAATATTTGGAAACTTAAACCAGTTAGAGTGCAAAAGTTTGGAAAACCAAAGTTAAAAAAAAACAAACAGGTTAAAAAGGTAAACGAACAAAAATTACTTCTTGAAATTTACAAACAGTCAAAAACCATAATACTTCCTTTTTTAATTTTAAAGTTTAAACAATTTTCATTTAATTTTTGCTTCTAATTGATTATTACGAGAAAATTCCCTATTTTCAATTCATGATATGATTTATTGGATGCTATTTTTTTATTGGCTAAAAATCAAGCAGACTAAAATCAAATATTTTTAGACCGTTAAATCTGCCTGCCAGACTTGTATTCAGTGGGCGCTTAACGAGAAAAAAGAATGCTATACTATTTATTTCCAGTTAATATGATAAGTTTGCAACACGATTGAAATGATAGTTATCGCTCATGAGAATTCAATTAATACAAGCATAAGCTTATCAATTGAAAATTGATTGATAAAAAATAAATTACGTGATAATTTAGTTCTGATAAATTAGACATCTAGCTAAAGAAGATTAGACTGCATTATATGACAATATCCTTGAATGGTGACAATATCCTTGAAGCCGCTCGACTCTATCATGATTATGCCCTGCTTGTACCAGATTTTCCTCCTAGAGCCTGAAACGGAAGAACCAAAAGATATTGGATATCAACAGCATCAGCAGCAAAATTCATGCTTTTGCATTGCACAGAACGATTCGCTCATGACCATCACAAAAAGAAGAAATCAAAAAAAGTACCTCAATAATTTTTGCAAAACTTTTGCCGTCTTTAAAAGGAGGGGGTATGCGCTTAAAATTTTTTGATAGAATAACTAGATTTTCAACAGACAGTCGGAAAAAAAGACAATGAACGCAATTAAATTGAAAAAATACCAACTTGTTTTTTGAAAAAATCGCAGCTTTCGAATTTCAAAGAAAAACGTAGATGAATTTAGTCTATGAATTTCGAGAAAAATTGTTGAATGGCATTTTTTTGATAAAGTTGACCCAATTTGAGAAAACTGGATCAGTAAGTAAATTTTCGCTGGGAAATCTGAAAATTAAAATCGGATCAACGGAGCAAACCCCCCCCCCGCAATGACCAATTGAGCTATCTCCTCCCCCAGCAAAAACGGTACAAAGCTACAAAAAGACGTCAGCAAACGCAAATAGATGGTTGATGTGTTCGTAGCACGCAATTAATTGACCGACTGAATTTTTATGTGAGTATCGAGAAAAATTTTGAAAAGAAAAAAATCGAAATTTTAAAAGAAAGTTAGAACAGAAAAAAGTCGCTTTGTATGCCTCAGTTTTTTGATACTTTTTTCACTATGAACGAAATTTTTGAACTTTATTATTGAATATTTTGGTTTTCCATATTCGTTGGAAAATCTGTTTTATAATTCATATCATTCAAACTATTTTCAAGTGGTTATAAACATGTCTCAAGTACCTATTGAGCTATCCCCCCCCCCCCCCCACGCGAGAATGGGGGGAGATGAAATTGAAATTGCAGCACGATTCACGACTGACATGATTTTATTCACATATATCAGTCAACTTCCGGCAATGTTTAATTGTACTTGCGCTACCTGATTTTGCGTGGAAGCACATCCATATCCATATTCATTAGCTCGGGTAGTCGTAGCAACGAATTATTTAAAGAGATTAATTGCAACTACGTACTTTAGACAAATCTACTCCAGTCATGTTGTTGATAACTTGTGGGAGTCTTTCCACAATGTCCAGCACTTCACCGGTCAGTTTTGCCGCTCCAATCTGGGCGTCGCTTCCAGTTGCTACTAGCTTGATGCCCTTAGTTCCCTCAGTGAGGGGCGCGGCCACCTCCGCCACCATCTGGGGAAGCACCTGCAACACCATGTCGACCAGAGCAGCGTCCTGGTACTGTTGCCAGGCTTTCGCCTTCAGTGCCATCTGTTCGGCCTCCGCTTTGGCTTTAGCGTTGATAGCCGCAGCCTCAGCATCGCCCTTCAACTTGATAGCCAAGGCCTCCGCTTCTGCCTCATTGACAATCTTCATCGCCTGACCCTTGGCAAGTTGTTCTTTCTTGTATTTTTCAGCCATAGCGGGCTGTTTGACATTAGCATCTAGTTCCCTCTCCTTTCTCTGGATCTCCTGCTCTTGGATAGCAATCTGTTGTTTTCTTTCTATTTCGACAATCTTTGCCTCTTCTTCAACAATTTTTTGCCTTTGGATGGCGGCCTTGAAACAAATGAATTCTTTTAACAAATACAGTGCTGATTTGAATTAACCGGACAAAATGAGCTAAACTTGAAAATTAAAACGCTTTTTTCTTAAATTGGGTTGAGTTTAGGTGAGAACTTATGAAGACAAAACTTGCCTAAAGTTTTAGCAGAATTTATATAGTGTAATTTGTTTTGCGAAATTCGGGCCCGAAATTTTACCCCAAAGATGGGTCATTTTTGGCTTTTCTTAGTTAATCAAAAATTACGCCAAAACTACCCAGTCGATCACAGACATATTTATATCAAAGTGAGCTCCTTACGTAGTCCAACAAACTTTAAGAAGGATATATTCTCCAAAACATTGTATAAGTTAATTTATTTTTGTTTGATAGACAAAAAAAGGTCGTTTTTACTATATAAAAGACCAACATTTTATTTAAAAACAATTTTTAAACGGCTTGCAATTTTTTTGGAGAATATACCCTTGTCAAAGTTTGTTGGACTACGTAAGGGGCTCACTTTGATACAATTATGTCTAGGATCGACTGGGTACTTTTGGCGTAATTTTCTATTAACTAAGAAAAGCCAAAATGACCCATTTTTGGAGTAAAATTCTGGGCCCGAATTTTGCAAAACGAATTACACCATATTAATTCTGCTAAAATTTTAAGCAAGTTTTGTCTTCATGAATTTTAACCTAAACTCAAACCAATTTGAGAAAAACGCGTGCTAAATTTCCAGTTTAAAGCGTTTTATCCGGTTAATTTAAATCAGCAATTTAAATAATGTTTTTTTTTTGCGTCTGGCATATCTTGAGCACTTTTAAACAAAATGTTCACATTTGACTCTCAAATTCATATGGTACAAAAAATATATCAAACAAGGTCATATCAGTTATTAAACTTCACGATATGCCACCCTTACAAACTATTATATGTCATTTTACATAAATTTTTCAAATTTAGAACCATTCTGTAGCTAAAATGACAGTTCTCCGCTCAGCATCAATTTGAGTATATTAGTTTGAAGTTGGTATGACATACAACAAAGGCAAAATTAAATACACTTTCTGCAGTTATGTATTGCGTCATAACGTATTCACCTGTAATTCGTAGGCCAAATCTGCCTGAGCTTGCTGAATGTATATTTGTTCGTTAAACTTTGCCTGTTCGATTTGATATGTTCGCTGGGACTCTGCCATTTTGACGTCATTCGCGTACTTGGCTTCATACTTCAGCCGATTTGCCTGAGCCTCCTAAACACAAATAACGTGCTTGTGGTATATATATTTGACGGTATTTGATTTTTCAAAACATCACGAAGCCTATAAATCTCATGCACATTAACTTTCATTTAAATTTAAGTCATATCTCGAACGGATAGAAAAATTTCCTGAAACCTGTTCATATCTATCAAAGAAGATTATCGTTGCTCCACAACTGCGGCCATTTTGACATAATTAAATAGTTAATGAGATAGTAATGGTCATAAATAATAGTATCAAGAAAAAGAATTGATAAAAACAAGTATTTCTGGATTCAGTTTTCTGATGACTTACTTTAATTCCAGCCTCCATGTTCGCCTGAGCCTCTCCTATTCGTGCATCCCTATGCACCTCAGCAGTTCTGCCTTGGCCAAGTGCCATTAGGTACCCCTGAAGAAAACAGACTGGTTACCGCTGCACAGTAGTTTTGGTAGCAGATTTCAGCATACATACAGTTTATCTTAGGAAACAACGAAAAGGTCTCGTTTGAACTGAAAAAAACTCAAAGCATGAGAATCCTGCGAGTGAAATACTGCCAACTGGTTTGCAAAAAAAACGATAGCCATGAATTGAGAGGAATAAAATATCTGGCATCAGACAAGATTAACAGGCACGAGTTTTCAGAATAAGAGCTCTTAGAACATTTCAATTGAACGGGGACTTCACTTTATGACACATAGGCGAAGCATAGCTTCGCATCACTTGCGATAAAAACGAATGGATATTACTACTTGCAGATGCACCGACAAATCGAAAAACTTTCTTTCAACATTTAGAAACAGGGGAAAAAATCCACTCTCTTGGAACTGAATTACGTGCACCTTTAAAATCTTAACAATTATGGACGAAGCGAGCTTTGCACAATTTGCGATACAACAAAAACATCGTATGACAGACTATAAGACAAAAATAAGATGAAAACCGAAGAAAATTTTTTCGACACATTAAACGTTAAAATAATAAGCATCGAAACAAAAAATACAAAGCAGTAACAGAGCGAATAATTCTTGAGCAGATACACCTTGCGCCCAAAAACAAATCGTTTTTATTTAAAAAAACTCAAGAAATCAAGTCACTTCAAAACCTTTTTACTCCTCAAACGAGTAAAAAAAGAAGCCTCTTAGGTCTTAGCCAATAAATTATAAGCTAAAACCTTTTAAGACGGATAAAAAGAAAAAAAAAACAGCCGGTAAATTTACAACCAACATAAAAAATAATGCTCCAACACAACGGGCATTTAAACCGCAGCATTAAAAAAAACAACGGTTATTTGACGAAGTAAAGAGTGGGAGACGAATAAAATTTTAGTCATCCTGTGAAAAAAGTTGTGTTTACGGGGAAAAAAAGAAATAAGTTGGAACACCCATGCTTATCACAAGGATAAAAACGTGCAAACGACATCATCAATTTTTCCAAGACTAGCCACAAACAATAGATTACACTGAAATCATGAAAGACAAAATCAAAACAAGCGCTTGAATCATTTTGAAATTCTTTTTTCTCATGTTTCGGTAATCAGAAATCATAATATTAGACAGATCTACGAAAACGCTCATTTTATTGATCCTTCCACAGCAGGGCTTTGGGTCCCAGTCACATTCTAAAATAATGTCTGTTAAAGTTCTGAACCTGTCGCAATCGGAAAAAATTTACCAGATGGAGACGTTTATTTCGGAAAATTTTCGTTAAATTTCCACATTATTGCCATGGAACTTATTCTTCAACCTAATCATACGACTATCAACAAATTTTTAGACTCTGTTTATGAGTCTATATGATCTGAATGAAAACTCCCCTTTTGCCTTTTCTATCTTCGTTTTTCGGCGGCGAAAAAATTCTATCCTTCTTTGAGACGAAATTTGATTATTTGCTTATTTGATACAATGCTTCCTATATTTATTAGTTTTGAAATCAGCAAGAAATTAAGCCATCAGGAGGAGAAACATTTGTGATGGAAGAAAAATGAGGATTCGCATTTAATAAACAAGATTTTTTTGTCCAGTTATCCATTTGACCGCTTTCTTTTGAAAACGATCAAAAAGGATTTCTGTTCACGACGCAGATACGCATGAACATACTGATACCACTGAAATGAAGAAAAAATCTCCTAAATTGTAGAAAACGATAGTTTTCCACAGAAAAAATAGGGAAAGCTTACTTAGAATTCAATTACGCGGACCATAACAGGAATGCATCAAAATAACTTTTCATTATAAAATTTTTTTTTATAGATTTCATCAGTGAAAACCCATGCTGTGGAAACTTAGCCGCCAACAAACAAGCAGACAAACAATTTCAAAACGTGAAGCTCACTGCTGGAATCAAGCTAAGACCTCCATTGTCGCAAACATGAGCAACAATTCTATGCTGAGCGGGCAAAAGAACGCTAAGCCTGCATCAGCTGCTTGATATCCAAAAATTGTTGATATCCTAAAATTGTAAAGAAAACAGTTGGTAAATTTACAACCAACAGAAAAAATTATGTTCCAACACAACGGGGTATCACTTCAGCTAAAGCTCCTCAAAAATGATAAAATCTAACAACAAAAATGATACAACCTAACAACAATTTAAAAGAAATCTAGTACCCGATTTTAATACATTTGCACTCGAAACTGTAAATAAAGTTGGTATAAGTCAGTTTCTTGCGGCGCGTCCGGTATGCTCTCTACGAGTTCAAGGAACATTGCGAACTCCATCGGCCGAACCCACAAGTCTATTGGGGTCAAGTTTGTTCTATTTTGCGGTCAGTTAGATAGGTGTTCAGCAGTGTGTGAGCAGGGCAGAAGGAACAGTTGAGAGGGATATTTGGGTCTATCCTATTCATGCAAGTATATAGGTAGGGGCTGCATCCAGGTGTTATTTGGACGTGGGTCACTTAGTCGAGCGAGGGAGTGTCTGTTCAGTTATCGAAACTTCTGGGGTCACAAGGGGTGAATTCTGGGCGGGGGGCTTAGTCTACGACTTTACGCAATTGGTTGGTGTGAAATGTCATCACAAGTTTTTTAAGACTGCTGTTTATGAACGCTCGCAGGCAAACAAAATTGTTCAAAGACTCACACGGGTTAAAAAATTGTTCAAGTTAATCTATAATTAAATTTTCAAGTTAATCTATAAAAGAAATTAAAATGTTCACGCAATGCTGGTGGCGCAGTCGAAGATGAGCACGGTATAAACGGAAGGGGCCTATTGGCAAGTAGGTCCTGAGGACGAAGTGGGAAACAGTTAATTTGTGGTAATTTATGACATTGAATTGCTTGCACTCTGTAGGCAGTCAATGGGGCTCATCTTAATGCACCCAGTCAGGATTCACAGAGCTGAGCTTTGCACTTACTGCATTTTACTCATGGATGTATCACTCGCAGCGTGAGATTCAAGCTGGACAGGCATAGCCTACTGACCCCGTGTCAACAAGACAGCGCCTTCAGAGCCATTACCCTGAGGATGGCTTTGCTTGCTGTGCATTTGTTGTTCGGCAAAAGTTAGGCAAGGGTAAAAAAAAAAACATCAAGAATTTTAGCATGACCGCGGCTGTTTAACGGATTGAGATTATGTACGAGCTCGACTCAAAACAGAGACGGTGCGGTAGTCCCATAATTTAATGTCTTTAGTTAGTTCTGGTGGGGGAATACTTCTGAAATCCTACATAGTAGTTAAAAGTTTGTGTTGAAAAATTGATGGCAGTTGGTCCCAGATGTTTGAGGTATACCGTGAAAGTTAAGTGGCTTCCAAAATGAAGACAGTGAAAAGGACGCTGATGCTGAAGATAAGTCTGTGGATGATGAGCTTGAGTTGCCGAACTTTAAACGAGCACTAGTGATCGTTCAAAGGGGTACTGTCAGAGTCAGCACTTTTTTTACCTGAAGAGGCGCATTTGTTATCCTCTGCAATATTTGAATACCAGAGAGAGAGAGAGAGAGAGAGAGAGTGAGAGAGAGAGAGAGAGAGAGGGAGAGAGGGAGAGAGAGAGAGAGACAGAGAGATAGATAGAGAGAGAGAGAGAGAGAGAGAGAGAGAGAGCAGTGAGCATTTGCATCTCCCATGACAATGGAATTGTCTACCGCGAGCAGTTGAGTAATAGAAGCCTTATAGTATTTTGGGCAGCTACGACGCGGGGAATAAAAAATTTGTGAAGCGGAAGCTTTGGTTGTTGGGCATTAATTATTAAAAACTGCGCCTCTCAACCAAGACCCGTCTTCCACTGTTTGCAACTCTTCGTATGAAACAGAATTGTGAACGGCCGTAAGCAGTTTACTTCCTTCGGTCCTCTGATGATATTATAATTTGGGCCGAGCGAGGGAGTCCGTTTTTTTCCATTAAAATTACTCTTGGAAAGCAGCGATATGAATTTGGTATTCAACCATAAGTGTTCACCCATTTGGTATTCACCCATGATACTCCGTTTAAGTTCCGTTGAAGAAAATTAAGACATTTTGTACATAGGGATTGGTTACCGGGAGGATGTGCTAGGGTCGGGTATGGGTAGAAAACGTAGTATGCGCTGTATGGTTTTGAGGGTTAGCTTTTGCATCGTTGGGGTGATTTGTTACTCGGGTGGCGAAATTAGTGGTCTTAGTATTTTTCCCTATTTAGGCGTATCTTTTACTGGGAGGGGCATGATATTATTCGTGTTCGTTAAAGTTGGACAGTGAAAGTTTCTGTGGTGTTGTTTGAGGTTTGCAACAACTACATTTTAGGTGAATCCTTCCGCACAAGTGACACATACAATTTCTTGAGATATTTGTGTTACAAGCAGGGCATATATAGGGGCCTGCGTTAAAGCCGGCACGGCACGTACAAGAAAAATAAGTATTAATAGATGGAGCAGCCCAGCCGACTTTGACGCTCCGCCACCAAAAACACTTTTGAACATGCTTTCTGCGCTCCCAAACACGGGAGAGGGTTTTGATACCATTTGCGGCGACTTTTCGCACATCGGGTCCAACACAAGGCAGCACCATTGGATCCTCGCCACTGTAATAACATTTAAATTACATCTTCGCCTGATGTAGCTCAATTATTTGGCGCTAATACTTGCTGATCAATTCTCAGCAGAGAATTATTTATGTTATCTATTGCAATCCTTTGCCATATTTTGTTAACTATCAACTGATTATTCATATTCATGAGAACGTACCTCGTGATCACTGATGTCCTTGATAGTGTATGAGATGACAGACATTCCCATTGTGGCTAGATCAGAAGACGCTACTTCAAAAACATGTTTGCTGAACGCCTGCCGATCCTGGAAGATCTCCTACGAGCCCAACAAAATTCACATTCATTATCATTATTATAATTAATTGCATCACTCTGACTAATTGGTTTTATCAAGTCAACTAACAGCCCAAATTCCATGCCCAAACACGTAGCAGAAAATAAAATTTTAAAAATCTGCCCATTGAAATAGTCAGCGAGCGCATTTTTGCTATGGTTGTGCTGAACAGATTATTTAAACGCAAAACAAATTATGTTATTCGCTGAAGAGTACAACAAAGCTGACAGAGGAAAAGCTAAAAACAAGAATGAGAAGGATCGAGATAGAAAGCTATGATTGAAAACTAAAAAACATTGATATGCATCACCTTTCAGATAGAGCAGTGAATCCTAAAATCACCAGTGTTAAATGAAACATCACATGCAGCAAAACTATTTAAGCGGTGATCACCCGCCATGATAATTTGACAGATAATCTTTTCGATTTTACCTCAACAGTCATGTTCCCCATAATTGCTCTCTGATGACCTTCCAGCGTGTTAAGAGCGATATTGTGTATCGCGCTCTCACTTTTCCCCAGAAACTGTTGACATGCTTTGGCCAACATGTCCTCCTTGGACCCTTCTATTTTCACCTAAACTTTTCATTCTTCACCTAGTTGATAAGTAACTATGAGGTGGTCAACTTTCAGTGGTCGAATTTATTATACTTTAATTTATTTCTAAGGTCAAATGAGGTAATTTACCTGCGCAATGCCTGTCACGGATATCTCAACGCCCTTCTTTGTGTATACATTATTGGAGTCAACTCGGAATGTCATTGTATTCAGAGAAAGTCTAAGAAATACAAAAGAAGAAATCCTCAGAAGTTAATCGAAGTGTTTTTTTTTCGTCCGATCAATTAATAGATTTTTGCTAGGAAGTTTAATTATCTTAATGACCAGTTTATTAAATTAGATGCTTATGGTAAATCTTACTTTTGTAGCTTTTGAATAATTGGCCATTTGAAAACTCTTCCACCGGGGATCAACAGCGGTCTCTCATAGCAACATCCTAAAAGCGGTTTAATTCGCAAATAGTCCAAGATTTTGTTATTTGAAAGTAAATTCACGGCGAACCTGAAACCACCATCGCTTCGTTTGGGCCACAAGTATGGAAGCTCATTATTTCTAAAACTTGCAAAAATATTCATTTCTATTCTCAGCTGCCGAAGGTAATCAGAAGGTCAAAAGTATCATAGTAACCGAGGTTACAGTCATGAGTCCCTTCATCATGTATTCCAGTCAAAATCCTTGGAATTTTCTAGATATGGAAGTGATAATGATAAAAGAAGATGTCAAGTGTTTAAGTCCTTTTCATTTAAAATCGATACGGGTTACGCTTCTTCAATAAGAACACGCAACTCGACACGAGATAATATAATATACAAGTGTTACAAGTAAAAAATTTCGTCGAAAGTTATTTTGTCATTTATTGTTCCGAGTACGCAAGCGGCGTTCGCAATCTGTATTGCCAGGGAGATTCTCTGTTTTAAAAAGCTGCCTGCTCTGGGTTCCTCAGTGCATATGCTTAGGTTCTTACAAAGCTTGCTCAAAAAAACTTCTGTGCTGGGGCCGGCCGCGCCCTGAATTTCAAAAGCTAGCGGTTGAAAAAGATATCCATCATTTACAAGATCTTTATATTTGTCAATTTTTCGCTCTTCCGCTTCAGCGGCAGCCGTACCAGGGTTACAAACAGACCCGGCATTAATCCTACAAGGGGCTAAGGAGTCTACTACCGTTACATCCCACAAGAGCTGCTTACAATCAGCCCATGGAACGAGCGTCAAACCGTCTGGTCGCTTCTGATCGGTCCTGTAGAGGTGTCGTGGTTCTAAAACAGACAGAATGTGAGTAGATGATAGACTCTGCTTTATAAGGGCATTCAGGTTTGAATGCCTAGAGAATCTCTCTGCACTTTTGAGGCAAGAAAGACCATGCCAACCATCCTCGGTAACGTCTTTTCCGCACACGCGTTTATGCCGTTCGCATATTTTTGATCCTAATCGAAGTCCTATCGCAATTCTGAGTTGTTGGTTCGACAGTTTTAACCTTAAATTTTTGCACGGGATGACGTTCAACCATTGGGAGCCAAATCTATCTTGGAACGCGTTGAACCTTTTTACGTCCGTTGGTTCGAGTCGTAAAATCAAGTCTGCAATTTCGCTGTCAAAAATTGGCTCCGTCCAATTTTTTTGGATTTCATTTTTCGGAGCCATTTCAATTTTTCCAAGGTCAAACCACCGTTTAAGCGCATCATCATAGGTTCCATCCACATGCTCCAAACCAAAGATTTCGCTCAAGGCATCTTTCGCTCCTACTGCTGAGGCTAAGAAAGCGGGTAAAGCGAGTAGACGAGCGGAAGAAACGCCCAAGCCACCTTTGGCTGCCGGGAGAACTGCTTGTAAAAACTGGTTATCATCCATTTTCACGTTAGTGACCTTGCATAACGAATTTCTTAGTAATTTATCGTAGCGTTCCAAAAAATCATTTTGCAAAAAACAAGGGCTCGTACGCAAAAAATATAGGAGTTTTGGCATGCTAAAGCAATTTTTCAGGAGGTAAAAACCATAATGGGCGTCTAGTTTGTCAATGACATCCGAGATTTTTTCAAGCTCCCTAATTTTTTCGTCGAGTAATTCTTTTCGGCAAAGTTCGCCGATTGGAGATCCTAAAATGAGGAGTTCTTCTTTTGTTTTTATTTTTATTTTGGGGCATATTTTTCGAAATTGTGTTAAAATTGAATTATACTGTGTACTAGTAGTCGGTCCCAAAAAACAAAGTTCACACTTCTCAGTGTTTAAGCTCAGGCCGTAAATTTGTTCCGATTTCAGAATGTTTTTAAGGTCCCGGAGTACTACCTTATAGTCGTCGGCTAAATTCCCATCATCTAAATACCAGATGTTAATTTTCGACTCCAACTGTTTGACTAGTGTATGAATTGTTTCCGCAAAAAGGGGTGGGGCTTCAGGATCACCTTGCTGAGTTCCGTCTTCTGACATTATGACAGAGCTTCCGTAAAAAAGGTAACTAGGTTTGCATACGCGCAATGGGTGTAATTATATAATTCGGGGCGATTTGAAAAAACATGATTCAGCATTGTTTCTCTGTTTAAAGAGTTAAAGGCATTCTTAACTCTTTAATTTCTATTCTCATTAAAAAAAACTAAATTACAAAAGGGGTCCTTCCGTTTAGTTACGTAAGTGCACAAGCTGGATAGGGCCATACCAGCGATATAAAAATGCATATATATCAGCAATGAAGTCATAAATCAGCATTAAATGCATCGTCATAATGTTAATTTATCTTAGCCGTCCTTCCTCTACAACAGCGCTTATGGAGTTGTCGATAAATTGAACTTTGCGTAGCGATCTGCACCCCCTTCTACAAAGTATAGAGCTCCTCAGGAGCGCGAAGCTTATTTTAGTTCTCATGCAGTTTATAGATTCTGGATAGCTTTCTTGTCTTTTTTCACTTAGTTTTTCGGCCAATCGCTGCATCGTCCGCGTGTCTGTTAGAGCAGCGCCACCGGTGCATCCAAAAATTAGCGGGCAGAAGCTACTCTGCTCTACGTTTAAAATTCTTTGCTGATATTTGGAGTTCTTCAGCGTTTCGTGGTATTTGTATGCATCCTTCTGCAGTTTTCGCGATATTTTGGCATGGGGGTTGAAAATTTTCACATCAAGGAAGCGCGGCTGAATCGTGAACCCCAGAGTCCGTTTGCCTTAATGTCAAGTCGTGCCTCATCTTCAGTTGTAGTTGAATTGTTGACAAAGCTTTCGCCCTGCAACGGCTGAAGTTTGTAACAGTCGCCTACTTTAGTCACATATGAGGCTTAAGAAAAATAGGCCCTATAACCATTGGCTCAAAAGTCAGGGACACTATCTCTTGTGTTTTTCTGCCTCAAGAACGGTCGGAGCCAATTCGGTTCGCTTGCGACATGAGACTAGACTAGAACCCGTTACAGCTTAAAGGCCACTACCAAAATACCCCCCCCCCCCCCCACTCTAGAAATAAAAACGTCCCCATACTTAGGTCTCGAAATACCCAAAATACATGAACGCCGTTAAAAACCGGGTCGGAACAATCCGCTTAGTTACTTTTTATTGGACAGTGGAACTTTGATCCATTTCAGATGGATCAACCTAAAACTCGCCTTATCTCAACATAACTATCATAAAATACACTCGAGAAATTTAAATTGAGAACTCACATGTCGATGCACTTGAGTATGAGGAGTAAGTAAAAGATGAGCAGCTTGAGAGTTGAATAATATAACTAAATAAGTTTGAAGCTAATTAGTTTTAACAACAGAAGTAAGTTCTGTCTCAAGAATCAAAGTTTCTGAATGAACCATTGGGACACTCGAGTTGTCCACTCTTCCATTGAATGTTCACTCCTTTCCGTTCGAATAGTCGTCCTTTCTCAAGTCTGTATTCTATTTTCCTGTTTTCAGGATAAGACAGCTCTACTCTCTTATTATTTCGTATCGAGAAATTGCGAATAGCAATTTCCTGCCTTTTTCTTGAGTAGTTTCCCGCAATTGTTAATTCGGTCGTTCTGATTTTTGACTTTTGCGTTTTCAGTTGGTTCGAGAAAACTGAGCATGACAGGCTCCATTCGAAATTTCCAAAATTAAAATTTCACTCCAAAATTACGTGTTTCTCAAGGTCAAACCTCCAGACATGACCGACTGGCACATACTCCCCGGACTCGAGATCGATGTCCTCATCGTGTGTTGTCATCTGCCAGTGAGTCCCAGAGAACCGAGTGTTGCTCAAGATACAGTGCCAGTGGTCATTTACAGAAGTTTGCATCGGACTTAAGTTTATCTACCTTCCAAAATTCACAACCATATAAAATTTTCACACTATCGCTAAACAGCAATCAAAATCTGCACACACCTGCACCCGTGAATCCCCGCTTTTTAAGCTGGTAATTTTAAAATTTCTTTTGTCCTATTCAGTCAGGAAATTGTCATGCATCATTTTGACTTATATAATAGATCTATCATATTAATAACAATATTTTATTCGTCCAAAATTTCTTTTTAGTGAACCCAGATTTCATCCAAGTTCACTCTCAAGCCCCCTCCCTCTCAAGACTCAAGACTCTAGAATTTCCTTTCGAGCCACTGGCTCACCTCGTGTTCTTCGCCTTCGAGGTACCCGATACCGGTGTTCTTGGCACTGTAATTTGTTCCAATAGTGCCTCTTCGTCATCGGAGCTGATCACAATTTCCTCCCAGGCCTTCAGCTGTTCATAGAATCGCATCCACTCCCTCTGCTCTTGCAACCTCTTCAATTGACTTGGTAGGCTCTTCACCTTCGACTCCCGGTTCAAACAGAAGGAGTTGTGAAGACTCATGCTTACATTCCTCGCCAGGTCCTCCTCCAGTATCGTTTCCCTCGCTCTAGAATTGTCTCTGGATACTCTGCCCACTCTTTTCCACCCCGCCGTGATCGCATTTCGATGGGTTAGCAGAGGTCTCTTAAAGGCATCTGGTCCTATTTCAGCTTGGAATTGTCGATATTCCTTTTGATGTTTCCTCATATGGTCCTTTGTCACTACATACAACCAGGATGTTAACGTCGCACGAAACCAAGGAAAGAATCTCAGGCGGCTCCATATATGTCTGACTTCCACTGGTATGGCGAATACCTTGCATGCGGTCTCGAACAACTCTAGTCTCCTGCTGTAATCGATCGCATGAATCGACTCAGCTGTTGGCGTTCTCGATTCTCTATACTTCGCTATGTTTTCCTCAATCCATCGCAGAGCCAGCATCGTGCTCACCACCAAGATGGTCACCTTTTGTCGATGCTCCGGTAGTCCCAGTGACTTAATTTCTTCTACGTCCCAGATCAGACAGAGATTGGCGCGGTCCGGGTACCACACTGTCTGCGCCAGACAGTGGCATGGACAATCCCCATGCGTGAGCTCGATGCTTCTAAGATTGCGTTCTCCCGAAGCTTCTAGGAGAGGCTCAAGTTCCATCATTTTCTCGTGTATCATGTCGACTTCCTCCGAGCTTGGAGCACCTACTGCGGGTTTCCCCACCACGTTTTGCCTCCCGTGATCACTTGTGTTTTCGCCCTCCAAGCCTAGGAGTTCTTCACCCCAGATTTCACTCA